ACAGATTTGCAAATTTTTGTGCTTACATTTCATACAATGTTCGATAAAAATAATAAATAATGTAAGGGTTGAACCCGTGTACAAAGCAAGTGCTCTACCACTGAGTCACATCCCTGCCATTCTTTTTCTAGTGTGAAGTGATTTTTTTCCTGGGGGTACTGGGCGTGGTCCATAAAGTATAATGTTTTGTTTGTGGGTTTTGAGTCAGGAGTTTGGCCTGATGAGTTTCTTTGACAGAGGAAGAGGAAGCAAAGCCAGTGACAGGCAGGTCAAGTGGACAGATAGCCCAGTGGTTCTTGCCTTTCTCCAGATTTACGCTCGGCTACAAACTCATTATCACTGGACCCCCTAATACACACACACACACACACACACACACACACACATGCACGCACACATGCGCACACACAGACACACACATGCACTCGCATGCTAGCACGCACACACGCACGCACACGTCCGCGTGCGCAAGGGAGCACCATGTAAGGAAGAAGTTTGAGCTGCCTGTCAGCCCCCTGGGTAGCTCCTGGGACCCTCCCGCTCAGCCCCAACATTGTGAACCTGCTGCGGGTGACATAAAATGGAGAGAAAAAGGTGGCAGCCTCGAGAAGGGCACCCACCACCTCTCTCTCGGTCTCCCTCACATCCCTCGGGTGTGCCTGGGAAACCCAGGACTGCTCCCCGTCTGCGATGAGCACCTGACGTCTCAGCAGCTTGCACCCGGGTCAGCCGTGCCCGCGCCGTCCGCCGGCTGCTACCCCTCCAGCCCCGAACACCGTGTTTCTGCTTGCTCCTCAGGAACCACCTCTGTTGGGAGTCAGGGGCAAGCGTCAGCCGGTGGTGCAGTCACTCTCATACTGCAGAGCAAGTTTTTGAGACACTTCCCCCCCCCAACCCGCCCACTCCTCTTTTATCAAAACCTTGAGCAAGGCCACCCCATCCCCACAGGCACTGTAGCTCACTCAAGACAAAATGGTTCCAGCCAGACCTACAGCTTCAGGACTGTGCAGCCGACTCTGAGTTGTCCTAAGGTGACCTAACAACCTGTCCCCTGAGAGACACACACACACACACACACACACACACACACACACACACACACACACACAAAGTCCCTGCATGTTGAGAAAACCATTTCCGAACATGACGTGAACAGCATCAGGGCTATGAGCGCAGGAGAACGCCCCGTTCCCGGCTGAGGCCGCCATCCCAGCCCCAGCTTTCCCAGTTCTCAGTCCCTCTCTTTTTCGAGTGTGGTGTCATTAATCATGTCGCCATTAATCCATCACCCCGTACAGAGCACGTCGAGGGCCTGGACCCAGTCACCTCCCAATGTCACCTTAACCACAGATGCTCAAGAGGAGGGGAGCAGGGCTCGTCCGCGGTGGGAAGAAGGAAACACGCAGACGTCTCTGGAAATGGCCCGCCAGAGCCAAGTATGTGCTGACCAGGAGAGAGAGAGAGGGAGGGAGGGAGAGAGAGAGAAAGGGAGGGGAGAGAGAGAGAGGGAGAGAGAGAGAGAGAGAGGAAGAGAGAGGGAGAGGGAGAGAGAATGTCTGAGTGTATGTGTGTGGGGGTTGCTTTGTGTGGTCGTGTGCAAGTGCAGAGTGTGTGTGTGTGTATGTGCCTGTGTTGAGTATAGGGGGGTTGCTTTGTGTGGTCATGTGCAAGTGCAGATGTGTGTGTGTGTGTGTTGAGTGTGGGGGGGGTTGCTTTTGTGTGGTCATGTGCAAGTGCAGAGTGTGTTTGTGTGTGTGTGTGTGTCGGTCTGAGTGTGTGTGTGTTGGGGGCGGGGGTTGCTTTGTGTGGTCATGTGCAAGTGCAGAGTGTGTGTGTGTGTGCCTGTGTTGAGTGTGGGGGAGTTGCTTTGTGTGGTTATGTGCAAGTGCAGATGTGTGTGTGTGTTGAGTGTGGGGAGGTTGTTTTTGTGTGGTCATGTGCTAGTGCAGAGTGTGTTTGCATGTGTGTCTGAGTGTGTGTGTGTTGGAGGCGGGGGTTGCTTTATGTGGTCATGTGCAAGTGCAGAGTGTGTGTGTGTGTGCGCGCGCGCCTGTGTTGAGTGTGGGGGGGTTGCTTTGTGTGCTCGTGTGCGTGCAAAGAGGAGGACAGAAGAGAAGCCTGCCTGGACATAGGGGAAGCAGAGTGGCTGCCACCTGCGGGGAAGGGCAGTGGTGTCACTGACCTAGGACCTTCCAGGGCAGCATGCTGAGCGGGCGAGCCCTGGCCAAGGTCACAGACCCAATGCCTGCCTGTCCCCACCCACCCTCACCGCTGTTTGCCATTCTGAAAGTCTGGGGCTTTCCCCCCGGGGCGCCGCTGGCCCCAGAACCCCGTCACGGGGGGGGGGGGGGGGGGGGGGGAAGCGTTGCCGTCAGACACACACACACACACACACACACACACCATGGAGCACCACAAGACAGGGGCCGGAGCACAGGAAGTGGAGCTGGAGGCCTCCACCTGAGCCTGGCCCCAGATCTCAGCTTCTCTTTCCTCCTTCCCAGCTAGGGTTCCAGGGAGGTGGGGGGTGGGGGCGGGTCAGGGAGAACGTCCTCTGGCCTCTCAGCAGACTTCCTCTCCGAGGCAAGGACTCGAAGCAAAAGACCCCAGGAGAGGGATGGAGGCTGACCTCCCCGTGGCCACGGCCTCTGTGGGGCCAGAGTGGGATTCAGAGTCTCCATCACAGAGATAGGCACACTGAAGCACGGATTGTGGTGAGCGCCTCTCCCCATGAGGGTTCAGGGGCCCACGGGAGGCACAGCACTGCATTCCCCGCAGGGGCTCCCTCGGGTGAACCCCAAAGCCAGGCTCCTCCTGAGACTCCTGACTCCCTTCCACCCCCACACACTCTCAGCCACATCGCCCTCGCAGCCCTGAAAGGTGCAGGTTCCAGCTGTGTTTCACAGCAGGGACAGGTGATGTCACATCCTCATGTTAATGTCGTAAAGTGGAGCCAGAGTCAGCCCTGAGCTGCCAGGTGTAGCCCCCAAACTAGCAAACAAACATCACCACCACTACCACCATCCCCCAAAAATAAATAATCCTTTGAGTTGGAGAAATAGCTCCGGGGACTGAGTGTGTGTTTTGGGTCTGCCAAAACATGGTCCCCCCCAAGCTCTGCCAGGAGCAACTCCCAAGCAGAATAGCCTCTGGATAATTGGCCGGGTGGCCTCAAACCCAAAAACCCTGAAATAAGAGTAGGAAGTATTTACAGATGAATACACAGAGAAGGGTTTGCAGATGAAGTAATGAGAGGCCCGGGGATTATTTCAAAATAATTGGGGAGAGATGCCAGGAGATAAGGCAGAGGTGACTTGGCCGACTTGGCGTGCGAGCCCAGCGCCACAGCATCCCTGGGCTGCAGGACACACAGTGTCCTCCCATTGTGACCCGAGACACCTTGCACGTGCCTCAGCTGCCCTGTTGGCACCTCACCGGGTCCACCTGCTGTCCCAGCACTGGCTCTCGCAGTATGGCCCCTGGCACCACCCGATATGGCCCAGAAATCACAAACAAAGACAAAACCCAAAAAAGTGTATGGTGCCAGCAGAGAGTACATGCCTGGTATTTGCCCAACCCGGGTTCTGGGCAGCCTTGGAGGCCCCCCCCCCAGTATTGCTGGGGTGGCACTGCAGGGCCCAAGCAGCATTGCATCCTCAGACCCTTTAGCTGAACCCACGGCCTTGTTAGGCAAGAAATACAGGTGGGGCTCCCGATTTCCTGAGCACCATTTGGGAGCTCCCCTTAAAAAAAAAATAGACTGGAAGTGCGGCTAAAGAGATAGTACAGTGGGTAGGGTGCTTGCCTTGCATGCTCAGGGCCTGGTTCCATCCCTGGCATCCCATAGGGTCCCCTGAGCACCAGCAGGAGTAATTCCTGAGTGCAGAGCCAGGAGTAACCCCTGAGCACTGCTGGGTTGCCCTCCCCCCACACACACACATCAAAAAAATTGATCAGGAGTGGGGCATGGAAAGGGGTCAGTTGGGTCTCACTTCACTGAACGGGGAATGGTGTGAGGAGTTAGTTCCTTCTCCTCTTCCTCTACCTGAGTGAGCGCTGGAGACTTGAAGACTCGCCAGTGGGGAGAGAGAGAGCACTTGGCTAGGACGGGGAGCCCTACCCACCCTCTTAAGGCTGGGGCACCCTCTGGCGTCGAGCTCGCTGGCTGCAGCCTGGACTCCTGGCACTGGTCCCAGGGAATAAGGACGGGGAGGGGGAGGGTCACCTCTCTCGCCTCCACTTTCATTTCTGGGGGCAGGGCCTGCGACTACTCCAGGAAGAGTCCTTTCTCGGAGAGAGCCCAGCTTGATGACCACAGAGACACAAGCAACGCAGCACAGAGAGTGAGGGAGGCCAGGGGGCCCTTGAGGTCACAATCTGCCACCTGAGTAACCCCAGGAAAGGACACGGTGTCCTCCCATTGTGACCAGAGACATCCTTAAGGGCCTGTGCCTCCCCTGACCTCTCTGCACCTCACAGGGCCCACCTGCTGCCCCACCAGAGCCCCCAGGGTCAGAGGCATGGGGGACACACCAGGACAGAGGGAGAGGGCTTTGTGCTGGAGCCAGGCAGGGGGCCAGCTCTGTCCTCAGAGGAGTGAAAGGGAGCAGCCAAGGAGCCCGGGGCGGCCAGAGCAGGTTCCTGGATGTAATTCCGAGGGCGGGGGAGCCCCTGGCAGGGAGCAGGTGGCGGGTCTTACTGGCTTTCTTTTGCTTTGGGCCTGGAACCCAAGGGTGCACGGGCAACTCTGCGGAGCTGGCGACGAAGCCCAGAGCCTACGGTGCCCAGGGCCCAGCCCTTAGAGCCAGATCTCGGGGCTCCGACTGTGTATTTGGTTTGGTTTTGGGGGGCCACACCTGGCAGTGCTCTTGGGGGGCTCAGGGGACCATGAAGTGCCCGTGATCAAACCCAGCGCCTCCTAATTGCAGAGCTTTGGTTGTTTTTTGTTGTTGTTGCTGTTGTTGTTGTTGTTTTTCCCAGGACTGAGGTGGGGATGTGAGTGAAAAGTTGCAGCCACACACCTGCCGATGCCCAGGGATTCCTCCCAGCAGTGCTCGCGGGGCCAGATGGGGTTCTGAGGATCAAGCCAGACTGGCCACGTGCCTCGTAAGTGCCGTTTCTCTGTACTCACTCCCCAGCCCCGGACTCTGGTGATTTCCGGCCATGCTCGTGGAGGATCTAGAGGGGACCAGACGCGCTAAGGGGCAGGCTGAGTCTCCTCTCCACACACTCTAGTCTGGGCTGGAAGCCCTGACCTTCCTCCCTCAGGTCGCCAAGAGAAAGGGGCGAAGGACTCTATACACTCACAACCACAGCCCCCAGGCCAATGTCAGCATCCATCTCACACCCAGATCTAATCCAAGTGTCTATGCCACACTCCCAGCCTTCTCCTGCTTTCCCCTCTCTGGGGCACGCACCCACCACACATACACACACACACATACACGCACACACACACATACACGCACACACACACACACATATACACACGCACACATACACACAGTCTCACACTCTCTCACACACAGTCTCTCACACACCTACAGATACACACACTCAACACTTACACACTCAACAATCACACACACGTTCGCACACACACATAT